AGTAGGAGTCCTGCCCCCAAACCCTCTGAGATTTGAGTGGGAAGAAAGCTCAGAAGTATGTGATTGTATTTATTTTCTGCAACTAAAGAAGAAATTAAAAAAGAAAGAAAGAAAGCTCAGAAGCACTTGGCCCCCTGGGAGGAGAAAGGTGGTAATCTCGCCACCTTCTGTACCATTCAGCTGTCTTGGTTCTGCCCACCTGCTCATGGGCTACCTGATCTAGGAAGAGGAATGATGTGGGGAAGAAGGTTTTGGGGCCAAAGATAAGAAGATACAGAAGGACTGGGGGTGTTACTGTCCTTAGCCAGACACTGCCCATTGAGGCATTGGGTCTCCTCAAAAGAGAGGTTCCTACCCAACTTCACTATGCTCCATCCCTGAAGATACTCAACACCTGACTAGTAAATGCTAACATACCTCCACTGACAAGGAGCTCCCTACCACTCCAACCCAGAACTCAGCAAGCTTCTCTTTCCCCTAAATGAAATCTGCTGGGGAACATCGGGCAAATCCACTCTCTAGGAAGAGACAACAGGCTCAGCTGGAGGGCCCCTCTGACTTGGCCACTGACAGCCCCTCTCCCGACAGAACCCTTTCACAGAACCCTCTCCTGTGACTTCATAATGCCTCCCTTCCTCTTGCCCCTTCAAGCTCTTCAGACACAGTCCTCTGCTCTCAGCTCTGGGAAGCCCTCTGCTTGTGTTTCCTGATCCTCTATCCCCCAGAGAAGGCAGAATGGGAAGGTTTGCCATTTTTCTCTAGAAGACCACAGAGGTGGAGTGATTTGCCCAAAGGCCCACAGGGAAGGGGTGGCCAACAGGACCTGACTCGCCTGGTTCCCAGCCCAGGACCACAGGGTCCCGTCCAGAATGGCAGGATGGAAACACTCCTGGACATCTCTCCCCCACCTCCTAAGTAGGGGGAGGGGAGCAGGAAGGATACAGTGACAACAGCCTAGCTCAGCCTGGGGAGGAGAAACTTGACTGTTGCTGTGAGGTCAGCAACCTGGGAACTGCATGGCCTGCGGCTGGTGGAGAAGGAGAAAACATTGTTAGTCATCCAGAGATGCCGTGGTTTGGAGCCGCTTCACAAGAGTATATAGCCTTGGCTTTGGAGCTAGGTCAGACTAGAGAAAGCTCTGTGTGTGTGTGTGTGTGTGCATGCGCACACGTACACGTGCATGTTTACAGATGTGTACATGCAGGGAGGGACATTTTAAAGAGAATCCCAGGGAAGGTAATGCTTATTCACAAGGAAAGGAGCAATATGGTGGAATCTCAGGCCGCAGGCACTTAGAGCTGGGAGACACCCGAGGAAGTGAGCAGATGTGACAATGGATCCTGGGGTTCCACGCTGGTGTATTTCACAGGCTCCTAAGCACCCAGCAAATGTCTCCCAGGTCCAGCTGGAACCTGGCTATGTCCCACCAAGGCTGGGGGAGAGGGGTTTTCCTCCATCAAGGAGACCCCTCTAACTCTTCCACATAAAAGCCATACATACCAAGGCCCAGAGAGAGGAAGGCAGATGGGTTCCCAAGCCCCAGCTGCAGGGCCCAGTGACAAAATAAGTTCCTTCAACACTTCCGGGCATGTGATCTTCTGCGCAACTGATTCTCGCCCCTCGAGAGGACTCCAGGAGGCCGAGTAGGGACTGTGGGGCTCTGGGGTCCTGCATAAGGCCCTGCTGCACTGGCAGGCATAGCAAACTTTTGTCACATTTATTCATTCCTCCATTCAAAAATGAACACCTATTACACTATGCATCAAACCTGTTTCTAGCACTGAGAGTACGGTGTGAACAAGTTAGACCAGAAAGCCAGCCCTCCTGGAGCTTGCAACCCAGCCTGCTGGGTGGTGGTTAGTGCCCCAGAGAAACAAAGCAGGTAAGAAGTGGGAAGAAGGCCGGGGAGGGTAAGATTTCAGCAAAGGCCTCACTGAGAAGGCAATATTTGAACAAAGCCCCTAAGGAGGCGAGGGAGGGGGCCTTGCAGATACTGAGGGGAAGTGCCTTCCAGGCAGAGGAAACAGCGTGCAAAGGCCCTCAGGTGCGACCCCGCGGCAAGGTCGAAGAAGGGCAAACAAGCACGTGCGGCTGGAGTGGAGTGAGGGAGAGGGTGAGGAATGGGAGGTGAGGTCAGAGAGGCACGGGTGCCAGATGGCATAGGGCCTTGGAGGCCACTGTGAGGGATGGACATGGGTTATGCGGTTTAGGGAGCCACCCTTAGGAAAGATAAATCAAAATCGCAAATACAAAATCCGGTTCAGGGCCTGGGACGGGGCCTGTGCAAATGAGCGGTCTGGACATTTAAGCTTTGCTAGTCTTGCTCTAAATCTGCCTCTGGCTGTGAGGAGAATTTTGGCTGTTGCCTGGAGTGGGAGGGAGCCATAGGACAGTTTTGTGCAGAGGAGTGACATGACCTGACTACCCTCTTAACAGGCGTCCTCTGGCCAGCAAGTAGAGGATGAACGGGGGGCTGGGAGGGGAATAGGAGAGAAAGCCACACCACCAGTGAGCAACCCGGACCAGACGGCGGCAGCCGAGGGTAGACAGCGATCATGTTCTGGAAATGGCGCTGACAAGATCTGCTAATGGGTTGGACAGGAGGGCTGAGGAGAGAGGCAGAAGGGTTGACCCAGAGGGTTTAGGCCTTGTTGTAGGTTTCGGCCTTCCCCAATTGAGGAAGGGAAGGACAGCCTCATTGTTCCTGGACCTCATACCACGCAGGTCTCTATTTTACCTCTGATCTGCACCCCCTCTGCAGGCAGAGCTTTCATTAATCTCACTTCACAGATAAAGAAACCCAGACTCAGAGAGGTGGAGTAACTTTCCCAAGATCACACAGCCAGTACATGGCAGAACCTGGATTTAAATCTAGGTCTTATACCAACTCCAAAATCAATATCTGTTCTGACGCACCAGGAAAAGCAAGGTTTGGGGGCGCTAGGGGAATGTTGGGTGGGAGAGGCAGTTCCTGGTAGTGAGGCACATTCTAGCAACCAACAGGGGCTCTTGGGAAGACTCCATACTTACCCCCAAAAAATCCTATGAAGAAAGTTCTCAGCACCCTATTCCATGCTCTTCCTCAACTTCTTAAACCTGTTTCTGATCCACCAGCTGGGAGATTCCAGCTGCAATCTCGGGGAAATGTTTTTTGGCATCTCTCAAGTTTTCTTAATTCACTGACAAGGTAATGCCTGCCTCGATCCACTGTACACATTTTCTCCAGGAGTTTCTGCATTAGAATGCAAAGCAGGCTTCTCTGGCTTGGAAAAACCTGAGGTTCCTGGGATTTAATCTAAGAACAGATTTAGCCCCTAAATACAATTCATTGCCTTTAAACTGATAGGAATTGATGGTCCCAGATGCATCCACTCAACAGGTTTAGTATCCAAATGAGTTCCCCACTGTCACAGTAATCGATATGGCTTGGATTGATATTTTTGTTATTATTAATACGGATTTGAAAAGCCTTAGCCCCTTATTTGGGATGTCCAATTCTGCTGTAGTTTACCTAGAACAGCTGACGCCACTTTCCGCTACTGCGCTTTGCTTGGAGCCGGGGAGAAACTGACAAAGCAGTGGAAGCTCAGGACTTGTGAATCTTTCACTATCTCGGGGCTTTGTTCTTTTCAAACCACACCCCTTCCACACTACAACAGAACCCAGGAAGCCACGCTGCACAACACTTGCCCCCTCCAGCCCTCCCCCAGCCCTCTGTTCCAGGCAAAACCTGCCAGCAGGAGCAGAAATTTGATCTGTCACAGAAGCTGTGATATTACACTGCCCAGATGTTCAACTCACAGGACTGAACGTTCATGTTACAGCTGATCAGGGCCTGTCTACCCTACAGACCCCATGCCGCCCCCCACCCTCCCACCCTGAGAGGCAGGATCCACGGCCCACATGGCCAATGGGCACGGAGCAAGCAGGACCTGCTTGTGGCAGGGGCTCACTGAACGGGCTCCTTTAGGCTCTTCATACCAGTGGCTTAGAAGGCATGTGCTCTTGCCCTCTAGGGCCGTTCGGACTGAAGGATGTCTCCCCACAGTGCTCAAACACCTGTATCTCCTTGCCCCCTAGGGCCTGCTTCCTCGCCTTGTCAGGGATTTAAAGAGAGTCTGAAGGAGCCTGGAACATTTCACAAGAGAAAGAGAACAAACAGCAATCAACATGGCCAGCATGTCCAGGCCACCCGAATGTGCCTGAATTCTCCCCAGATAAACTGGGGCTGCACTTTACTACTAAGTGGGGGACAGTGAGGTCACAAATATAGCATTAAAAACAATTTTTTTTCTCCTACCAGAATAAGGCAAGAACCAAGAGACATACTACTGGGGAGGAGAAGGTGATGAAGGCCTGCCTCATGCCGACAGAACTACAACAAAGCCCTCACCTTTCTTGTATACGAGATCCTTCTTACCCACAGAACTGGGGGAAGTTGTGCACTTGGCTCTGTAAAATATGTTGCTGCAGAAAATTAGTCACTGCAGGAAGTTAGACCCCAAAACCCAAACCCAGGCTGTGGCAAACTTTGGATTGAACCCAGCCTGATCATGGAGCTCTTTGGCAGGACCACGAGAGCTGTGGGCTGCCTGACTATGATCACCAAGGTCAAGGCCAGAAAATGGCAGGGAGAATGGTTAGTGCCAGGGGGTGGCCAGAGACGGAGGCTGGGCAGAACTGGATGGGCCCGAGGGGTCATCCAGTCCAACCTCCTCACTTTGCAGACAGGGAGACTGAGGCCCAGTGAGGGGAGGATCACAGTTCAGTCAGTGGGAGTACCAAGGGGTCCCCCCAGTGCTGACTTCTTCCCTCATCATGAAGCCACCTCCTACTTAAATGGTCAAGGCTGAAAGGGGCCCAAGGTCATCCAATACCCTCACTCGGCTGATAAGGACGTGGAAGTCCTGGAATTTCCCAAGGCATGAGGAATGGGAAGGGCAATCTTTCAAACAGCTCCCAATCCTCAGAAATGCCAAGAAACCTCATCCTCCAAGAGAAGCAGTTTCCAAACGTTTGTATTTTTAGCAGCAGAAGCCATCTTCTGAACAAAACCTTATGCAAAACCTCAGCTACAAAACAGATCACTGGGCTGCTCGCCCACATGTGGCCTGGGCCGGGCCCCGGGCTCTCCCTCCAGCACCCCGTACTCCTTCCAGGGGCCCTATGTGGAGCTTAGTTTGAAACCTGCGGCCTTTAGGGGCCGTGTGGCCCTGCAGCTAAAGCAGCCAGATAAGGTGAGGTCTCATTTAAGAGACCTGGAGAGTGTGGCTAGTCTCTGGGACCTGGACAACTTCATTCTCCACCAGGGTCTGGCCCCCGTCCCCATTGAGCTGTCTCATGCGCAGGTTAATGGAGCCGTAGGTCTTCCTGGAGCCCCTGCCGGGGACGAAGGTCCGCCGGCGGTAGAGATCGCCCTTGCACAGGGAGACCATGAGCAGCACCGACAGGAGCATGCCGCCCACCGTGAGCAGCCCCAGGCCCGCTATGATGCATTTGTCCAGGTGGGAGCCCAGGCGGGCATAGTACATCTCCAGTCGTTCCATCTCCCGCGCTGTCACTGTGTCCGGGTTGACACGGGCCTCTCGGGGGATGGCGTACGCTGTCACCACCAGGAGGATCCCACTCACCAGGAAAACCAAGGCAGAAACGAAGCCATAATCCACCGGGCGGCTCACGGGCTCCAGGCCTGGCCCCTCCTCTGAATGTAGGGACAGATCGTCCCGCTGGGATCGAGGCAGTGAGGGGATGCCCCCTGGAGGACTGGGGGAGCTGCACAGTCTGGTGTTCCCAGGGTTCTGGAAATGAGTCTCGTGCTCCTCTGAAGAGAAGCAGGCATTCTCCACACCCTCTCTGGGTGGGGCCGCTGGGCCCAGGGGAGATGGTCTCCTTGGGGCCTGGGGACCATTGCTCAGTGTCTTCAGTTCCAGACCAGGGGGAGATGCCATTGGGAAGGAGGGCCCCAGCTCATCCCTTGGCCCCTTGGCAGCTAGAAGAGAAAACAGAAAGTCAGTTGATTTTAACAAACCTCTACCAAGTACCTCCTGGTGGCAGGACATCACACTAGTCCCCAAGCATGTGAAGGTGAGTAAGGCACAGTTCCCACCTAGGGGAACTTGTCGATGGCTTTGGGCAATTCACTTGCCCTCTCTGGGCTTCAGTTTTCCCATCTATAAAATGACAATAATACCCCAACTCCTGGCTTCACAGGGCTGGTGCAGGGATTTAGATAACCCTTGTAAAGTACTCAGAACAGCAAGTGCTCAGTAAGTATTAGCAATGAGCTACCATTATGATGCAGGGGATTTAGATAGAGTGGATAACAGGTTCAAATCCCAGCTTTGCCACTTGAGCTTGGGCAGGTGATATGACCTCTCCAGACTCAGTCTTCTCATCTGTAAAATGGGAATAAAGAAAATGCCTGCCTCATAAGGTTGTTGTGAGGATGTCATAATATAGTGCATGGGTGGTGGAGATGACGAAGATGTTGTAGAAACAAAGAGGAGAAAGTCAAGGGAGCTTCTGGGAGTTGGTGGCGTTTGAGCCAGACCTCAGAGGATGAGTTGGAAATTCTATAGCAGTGAGACGGGATGAGGGCATTCCGGGAAGTGGAACAGGATGCCTCAGAGATCAGCCAAGGCCGGCTCACAAAGCACTCCGAGCCACGCCAAGGAGCCAAAGAGTGACAAGGAGCTGAGATATTGGAGCAGGAAGTGCTGGGATCTGCCTGGGTTTCAGAAGGCAGGAGAACTGCCAGGATGGGAGGGAACGGAGTGGAGACAGGGGTCCAGCAAGGGAGCCAGCAGGTCGTGGATGACAGGGCTGAGAGGTCAAAGAGGAAAGAGCAGACCTGAGAGCCATGACTAAGGTCAAAGTCAAATACCTCTAAGTCAACAGAAGCAGGGGGAGGACACAAGAGGGGAAGGTGAGCAGGGAGCACACTCTATGCTGCAAAGAGGAGATACCCCACCCAAGTACCTGAACACACACCTGCACAGACGGACAGACAGCACATGGGCATTCCCATCAAAGCATACCCACTTACAGCCCATGGGCCATATTTGCCTCATAGAAGTTTTGCTTTGTTTTGTTCCTGGTCTGTTCATTTGTTTTTGGTGAATTAGTTGCCAATATATAAAAAGCAAAAGATTTTACATTTTAAACTTTGAATTTCTGGCTTCTCTTACAAAATGTAAGAATCTGGCCACCCCATTCCCTCACAACACTCAGCTGGAGTTGGTAACTGGGTCCTCCCTTAGGCAGATCTAGTCTCTCCCCGCCAGGTTCCCCCTCAACGCCCTTCCCCACCTGGCCTGTATGATTCCTGACCCACAGCAGAACTGTACCATTCCATCTACACACGACGTCCTGAGGGTACACACACCCAGGGCCCAAGGCGCACAAGTCCCCACACAGCACAGAGACCCCCAGTGCAGAGTGGTTCACACGTTCTACAGACACGTGATTCTCTGCATTCTCACACTTGAGTTTATTCTCTGGTGCTCTGTGGGGTGTGCGTGTGTGTGTTTGTGAGAGAAAGAGAATATGAGCAAATGAATGAAGTGAGAATCAATGAATTGAACGAATGACTGAAACTCAAAGAGTCTCAGTGCAGGAAGGCACATTTTTCAGTCTTTCTGACCTTCCTTCTAATACGAACTTGCATCAGACACTTCCTCTTAGCACACACAGGGCCTTTCATCTGAGTACAAAGCCCGTGTCCACTCACAACCCATTTCTGTCGCTACATCCCTCCTTCCAAGTCCCAATTTAGTCAATGTTTACTAAGCACCTACTACCTGTTGGGCCCTGAACCCGGAATCTCACTCAGGAGTACCCTGTATAACCCTCACCAGCCCCTCAATCAGGAATTAAAGGTAGCCAAGACCCCATGGTGTGTGCGTGGGGGGCCGGGCATTGAATGCGGTTCCCTAAGAATTATCACCTACAACTCTGCAAACCCGCACACTGGTGTCATCACCCCACCCTCACTCCCTGCTCTTCCAGCCCTCATACATGGACCCCCCACTTTATCCAGCGGTTTAACAGCAACAGGGAGCATTTCAAGGGCAGGGGTATGTCTGAACTCCGTCTGGGTCCTCAGTCCTGGCCCAGACTGCTTTCACTTTCCAGTGAATAGAAAGGAAAGGTGTGTTGCTTGGCTTTTTACTCTGAGCACCCAAAGCATTTCCTGAGTGGAAATGAGTGGTACCAGGGCCCGGGAGTGGGTGCTACATGGATGCTCAGATGTGCCCCCTCATCCTCAGCACCTTCCACAGAACTCCGCCCCTAATGTGGCCCAGGAACCTCTTCCCCAGACTGACATATTGATGCCTCCATAACCCAGAGGAAATCGGGGGCACCCAAGTTCTGGGAGCAGGGCTCTCCTTCACCCTGCAAAAACCCAAAACTTTTTCAATAGGATGCCAGAGTGAGGGGGCAGAGAAGAAAGAGGTTCCTTCTCCCCCCAAGTTAGGATGTCTCCCTGCTTCTCTCATGCACAGGTTCAGAGATACCCACCAGTTACACAAGGCCATGCTGAGTCAATTACCCAAACATAAGCAAAAGCAAACTGACAACATACCGTGCCCACCGTCCACACCCCACAACCCCACTAGTTACCCTTCGATTTCACATGCAGTCGTACAGGTCCTGAAGGAAACACTCCAGTTCCACGCTCAGCCCCCCAGGGGCTGTCCCCACATGCAGTACCCACAGATACCTGGAAGCCACGTAGTGAGACCCATAGATCTGCGGGCCACACTAATACCCACACCCCAGGAGGGGGCGGAACTGGTTACACATACACATACACACACACACACGCTCTCACACTTTACTCCTAGGACTGCTAAAATCCAAGCCAGATCCACCAAGACCCGCCGGGCCCAAGAGCCCACCCACCGCGGGCACTGACACAGGGGGAGACGTACGCACGGCGGATGTGGATGAAGCTTCAGAAAACCCAATGGACAGGCACACGCAGGAGTTGTACACAAAGCCTTGGGGCGCGCAGATACGCACACGCAGGTCCACGCTGTTATACCCAAAGTTCCGCGCAGAAAGCCCCAGCACGCCGCTGCCCACCGCGCCCGCGCGCCCGCCGGCCCGCAGTTCACACCCCCTGCTCCTGCCCTTGACCGTAAACGCGGCGGGCCGGGCCAGGCCGGACAGGACCGGGCGGCGCCCGCAGCAGGGAGGCCAGGCGGCCCAGGGAGGCCAGGTTCCGCGGGGGCCGGCACGCACCGGGTGCCCTCGCCGCTTGTCCTTCGGCGGGCCGCGAGGTCAGGCTGGCTGTCCTTCGCCGCCGCCCTCCGCCTCGGGCCCTCGGCCTCCAGCCGCCCCTCGCGGCACCCTCTCCGCGTGCGTACCTGTGCCGGCCTCCCTCCCTGCCTCGGCACGCGGGCAGCGAAGGGCGCCGGGCGGCCGGCGGGCGAGGGTGCGTCCTCCCGGGGCGCCCGCCCTCCTCCCTGCAGCCGGCGCCCACCCGCCGGGGTCTCTGCTGCGGCGCAGCCCGGAGGGCGCGGGCCTGGCCACCACTGCCTCGCCCTCCCCGGCTCCCGCCTCCTTCCCGGCCCGGCCCGGAGCCGCTGCCGAGGCGCACGTACCTGCTCGCGCCGCGCGGAGCTGTACGGCGGCGGCGGCGGCCTCTGGGGGGCTGCGGGGACGGAGGGACAGGGGAAGGGGCGGGGGCCGGGGATCGCCGAGCACCGCGGATGGAGCTCCGCCCGCGGCCGGCGAGGGCGCCCGGAGAGTTAGCGCAGGGAGGGACGGGGAGGCGGGCGATGGGCCGGGGTAAGGATGTGAGGGTACCAATCCATCCTCCTTCCCCTGCGCTCAGGGCAGATCTGCACCGCCTGCACCCAGGCTTAGGGCACTGGAGCTTTGAGCCCGCGGTCCCCGGGCGCAGGGGCGGGGCGGGGGGGTTGCCGGAGAAGACCCCTCCCCCGCCGCCTGCCTGTCCCCACCGCCGCGGAGCCTCTATTGCGCCAAGCCCGGATGCCCTTCCCCCTCCCCACCTCTATCCTCCCACCTCCCCACACACAGCCCTCGGGTAGGACCCCGGGTCCTCTCCGAGGTCCTTAGGTCCCGACAGTCTCCTCAGGCGCGTGCGGTTCCGTGGCTCAAGGGCTCCACCTGAAGGCTGAAAGGAAGCATCTGACGAACCCTCCTCCCCCTTTCTCTGCTCTTTTTTTTCCTCTGCGGGACAGTGGAGCGCACAGCCTGAGAGGGATGCTCTCTTGGGGCACTCCCAATGGCCACACACGCCCTAGTCCTCCAAGGCCCAGCCGTGGTGCCTCCTCCCCTAGGATGCCTGCCTGGTGGCTGGCTCTCACACACGCTCCTCCACCTCGGCGCGCCTTTGCCTTTGAACTCTGACAGTTGCACTGTTCTGTTGAACGGCCAGCCCCTCCATCAGACTGGCAGCTCCTGGACAGCAGGGCCCATGTCTGATCGCCCGGAACCCAGCAAGTGGGTGTGGGTGCGCAGGTAGTGAGTGGGGTGACATTTCCTTCCTTTACAGGGCAGAGATTAAGGTAAGTTGAGTGAAGTGCCCAGAGCACAAAATTCAAGGAGACATTTCTTTGGGGGCCCAGGCCAAGCCCAGAGTGAGGTTTGGTCCAAAGATCATGGAGTTTCCAGGAAGACTCGGTGGCCGGCTGACTTGAGTGGCCTCAGGTAGTTCCTCTTACCTCTCTTAGCCTCAGTGTCCACCTCTGTCAATGGGGATCATGAAAACGAGGCTCTTGGGGGCACTGGGACAGCCAGCAGAGGTGGGCCATGTGGGAGGACAGCCAAATGCGAATGCCCTGTCCTGGCTCCTCAGCCACCTCATGGACAGAGCCTGACTGATCATCCTCCAAAGGCCTGTGCAGTCCTCACCAACCAGGAGACTGGAGGTCATCCTGGAAGCTGGGTGCCCGTGCCTTTGAGGCCAGCATAGCACCAGGGCTAGGAAGGCCATCTTCTCCTCCCCACATTCCAGAGGCTTGACCTGTTGTTAGGGACTTCAAAGGGAGGCTAGCTCTGGCCCCAACATCCCAGCTGTACCCCCACATTTGTGTGCCCTTGTGCAAAGGGCTCTCCTCTTAGGGTTCAGTTTCCTCATCTGCGAAGCGGACTTAGAAAGGGTCATGGGAATTTAGATGAGACACTTGCCTTAAAGTACTCACTGTTCCTTCCCTCGGTCACGAACAGTCCTGCCTCACCACCTTTGCCTTGGCTGTTCCTTCTGCCTGGGGCATTTTTCCTCCTGATATCCCCAGCGCTCACTCCCTTGCCTCGCTTCCTCCATCTTTGCTTCAATGTCACCCTTCCCGGACCATCCTTTTAAAAACAGCAGCCACACCCTTTACTCCTTATCAGCTTCTGACATTAGTTTCTTTGTTTATTGCCACCAGCACTAAAAAAAAATAAGTGCCAAGAAAGTAGGGGCTTTGCCTGTTTCCCTTCCTGCTGTATCCCCAGATGCTGGAAAAGGAACTGACACCTGGGAGGTCCTTGCTAAGTACTCACTGAATAAAGAACAGAGAAAATGAGCAAATATTTATCGAACACCTATTATATACTAGCTAACTAGGTAGTGAAACCAGCTAGACTCCATCCCTACCCTCAAGATGCTCGTATTCTAGTGGGAGAAAGGGATAAGGAAATGTAACATTACAGCTGTAGTAAGTGCTACGAGCCAAGGCACACAGTGCTGTGTGAGCCTCAAACAAGGGTGCTGACCTAGTCTTGGGGGTAGGGATGGCTTTCCTGTAAAAGTGAGGACTGAGCTGAGATGGGAAGGAGGAGTGAAGGCAGCCAGGTCAAGAGGGTAGGGAAGGGAAGTCCAGCAGAGGGCTGAGCATGGACAGAGTCCCTGGGGCAGAAGAGAGCATGGTGAGTATGAGAGTAGAAGGAGACCAGTGTGGTTGTCATGGGGGGCTCATTAAGGAACGTGGTAGGGGATGAGGCTGGACTTGTCAGCAGGCCAGGTCACTGCAGAGCCTTATAGGCCAAGGAGTTTGTTCTTTGTCCACAGAGCGGGGGGAGCCACTGATGAGAATGGGGAAAGGGTTAACAAAACCTTTTCCTCGGCATGAGAATTTGACCTTTGGTTAACTGTCAAGCTCTGTTCCCTGGAAACAGATAAACGTATGTCTGCTATGTTACTAAGCAACATTGCTTATGATAGAAAATGACCTCCTGAGGAGGGGGCTAGAATGATCCATGTGGCAATGGATTAGAATTGGAGGTATCAATATGAATTTGTGTTTAGTATAGATGCAGAGGATGATATATAGCAATAGTCATAGATGTATATACACGGGTAGTATACACATGTACATTTCCTTGCTCTATCAGCTGAGAGGGTCTAGAAGCAATGCTATTCCATAGCAATGAACACACGTACTACCAAGATCTTGGTTTCTAATACCATTCTCCAATGAAAAGATCCACGGCTCCTTGGCGAAACGGCTGTTTCTAGAACTTGGGCAGGAAATATACAAGATAAACCTGGAGTATAATCTTACAGTGCCAGAAAGTAACGAAATGCTAAACACACACACACACACACAATGATGGGAGTATGTCAAAGAACATACAGGCCAATTGTAAGTGCTCCCAATGACCAAAGCTTGAAAATTTTAAGCAACGAAATAAATAAAGTAATATTAGATTGTAACAGAAAGTATGAAATAAATATCCTTGAATCCATACTGATATAAATAACTGAACAAATATATGAACAAATGGGAAGAAAAGATAAATCTCCCACACAGAATTCCAAATTCTATATACAGATACTCAGTCCTCAAGGAGGGGGAATATAACTCCCCAATTCTTAACTGTGGGCTGCCCGTAGTGACTTCTTTTCCGAGAGTACCTTATGGAAAGGGGGAAAAAGAGTAAGTGTACAGCGGAGAAACCCAACAAACCTCATCCAGGTGATCGAGGTCAGTATCAACGGGTCAACACAACACTTGATAGTATGTACCTTTGATATGATGTGATGAAATGGCACTTCACCTCTGTGGTCTTCCTCCCAAAAACCCATAACCCCAGTCTAATCATGAGATAAACATCAGATAAATTCCAACTGAGGGACAGTCTACAAAATACCTGACCCGTTCTCAAAACTGTCAAGGTCATGAAAAACAAGGAAAGTCTGAGAAATTATCATAAACAAGAGGAGCTTCAGGAGACATGACAACTAAATGTAGTGAGGTATCCCCAGTGGGGTCTTGGAACAGGAAAAGGACATTATGTAAAAACTAGGGAAATCTGAATACAGTATCGACTTTAGCTTAGCTAATAATAATGTATAAATATTGGTCCGTTAATTGTAACAAATGTACCATACTAATGTAAGAAGTTAGTAACAGGGGGGAGTGGGTATGGGGGACACAGAAACTCTCTGTACCATCTTCCTAATTTTTCTGTAAATCTTAAACTATTCTTTAAAAAAAATGAAGTTGTTGTTGTTTTTAAACCCCCTGACAGGTAAATTGCATCTGGACTGGGAGGAACTATACATACCTGGTGGAAAATTCATACTTTGGGCCTCCTGAGCATGGTTACTCATGTAACTAGGTAAGGCCAAAGATATTGGCTCCCGTGGGATGTGAAGCTTTTAAGCCAATATTGCTCCTGCACTGACTGTTGGGGAGTTTCTCTTGCACCTGAGCGGTACTGCTTGGCTGGATGAAGCAAGGACTCCTGCCGAGAGGAGCACCTGATGACATTGAGTGCTATGCCTGCAAGCTGAAGTTCTGTCCTACATCCTTTAGAGTAGGTCAAGGCCAAGTGCGGCTTATGGCCATCTGTTGAGTCTGAGTGTGTAGTTGAATCTAAGAAGATCCCTCTGTGGACATTGCAGCTGGTGGGTGATAAGCAGGGGAGTGATGTGATCAGAATTGCACTGTGAAAACATTCTCCCTCTGGCTACTCCCAGGGCAAAGGAACAGAGAGAAAACAGACCATGTGGGAGGTTATTGTGGTCATGCTGCCACACGGGAAGTCCTCCATCAAAAAGCTGCAATTGTGTATCTGTGGAGACCTATGATCTGTGAGAGAGAGAATAGGACCTCTTGTAGAACATTACGGTATCACTTAATTCAGAATTTACCAAAGGGTAGTGGCATATGACATGATTTTAGGTGCTATAATATATAGATAAATATTTCTGCATAATAAGTCACCCCAAAACTTAGCATTTTAAAAGAAAGTCATCATTTATTTGCTCACAGTTTGAGCTGGTCTCAGCTGGGACAGCTCAACTCTCTTCTATATGGTGTTAGCTGGGGTGACAGAAAGAGCTGGCAGTTGGCTGGAAAATCTCAGATTGACCATGTATCTGTGGGCTTGGTTCTGTCAGTCGGGTTTTTCCATTCTCTTCCACATGGCCTCTCCACGTGGCTAGCTTGGGCTTCCTTATATAATGGTGGTCTCAAGGTAGTCAGAGTTCTTACATGGCACTGAACTTTCTCCAGAGCACAGAAGGAGAAGCTGTTGGGTCTTCTTAAAGCTGAGACCTGGAACTGGCACCACACTGCTTCTGCTGCATTCTATTGCTTTGTGCAAGTCACAGGCCAGCCCAGATTCAAGGGGAAGGTACAGGCACTGGGAGGCAAGGATCACTGGGGGCGTGAAAGTAAC